TTTAATTTCTAGTTCAGGTATTGTCTCACAATTCGGTGGGAAACCGTAAAGATTATTTTTAAATACTTGAATCAAAACGCCATAAATATTATGCTTCATTATGCCGATAAGAACTAAGTAAATCAGGCCTATATGAAATGCTACTGGTAAATTCCGTCGTGGGATTAACGGATTCGGTGATGGTGACTACGAAAGATGACCACGAGGATTAACCAATTTTCCTTGAATTTCACAACTAAAACTGTATCTCTACTATAATAATTAAATGAATATGTAAAATGAACATAATGTTCTTTAAAAGATTTATTTCCATAATTATATTATAACAATATTACATGTGTATTGGTAGAAATTTGTTGATACACATCTTAAAAAATTCTCTTTTCTTTTAATGTTACTTTTTAACGAATTTATTGGCACTAGTAATTTTAATGTATACAAACATGTACCTAACATGGATTACAATCCAAATATTCCTTAAACATTTATTAAGTATTTATATATTTTTGGAAAAACCCAAGAAATTATAATCAGATACACTAGTGCATCTCACCCTCGCTTTAATCTTTATCCCTTCAGTCCGGAGGGTGAACACAGGTAGATTGGCGCAAATCATATACAGCCAACAGATTAGTAGTGAAGAGTTTATGATCTTTTATTAATTGCATTCTTTTTTGTATAATTAGGTATCGAAACAGTTTTGTCACTTAGTTATAATTAGTGTGTTATATAACATATTCAATTTGTTTGTGTTAAAATGAAGAGGAAAATTCCAATCAAAATTTAGATGCCGTTTTTATCATTTTCTCATGTACCTACTTATTTTAAAATCAGGAGAAATTAATATTTCTGAAACTCAACAATAAAAAATTCCAATTTACTCCCGTTATACACCTAAAAGTTTTGTTCTTGAAGTGATAAATTTCAAATCTTTTACCATATACGGGGATGTAAAAAATTGGAATTAGGGCAGAGTTACACTTATTTTAAAAATATAGAAAAAAAAATTATCATTTTTTACTCTAAGAATAAACAAACGTACTATATGCTTTGAAAGTAATTTGTAATGGATAGACCAATCTATAAATTTGTTGTCTAACGGAGACTGTTAAGCGTAATAGAAACAAACAAAAATATTAACTATCATAAAATTGGCAAGTGGAATGGCAATTTTCAAATAAATATGTATATGGAATTCCCAGAGGAACAGAAGTTGTGCATAGACTACATATTATATTTAAATAACAACATGTATGTCGCCAAAATCAATTAATGTTATTTTAATACTAGATACATAGGTACCTCAACTGCTTCTGATGATGCACTTTCGCTAATGTAATTTTTGATCTCTTAAATAAATATGTTAGAAGCGAATATTGACAGATATTCTAGATTGAAAACTTCTTCTACTTCGCTGAATTAATCAGGGGGCTTATTCTCTAACCAGCATTTGTGAAAATACTCAGCGAGTCTCTCCAGAAATGTGACAAACAACTAACAAAAGTTTAAAGCACAAACGTTTTGGTATTCTCTACTTGCTGTGCTGTTCATATTTGAAAAAAGTAAAGCGCTTTCAAAAAAGTTACACATGAGTAGCGTTTTTCTGTTTGCACTTCAATGTTTGATATATGGATCTAAATATTAGGACTTGAATATAAAAATATGAGCAAATGTATTCTGTTTACTATGTTTTTGATTCCTTATAATTCTATAATTGGCCTCAGTATACACACAACCAAACTTACATGCAATTATCTATTATTATTCATAATTTTTGAGATGTATGAACATTCTTTGTTTATGAATAACACTTAGCCCTTACCAAAGACTTTCAATGTCAAATAACCCACATGGCAATAAAAATAATCAATTGGTTGACAAAATAAACACAATGGTATTTTTTTGGTTTCTGAAACGAAATGAGATTTAAATTTTTAATAGCCGAAAAGCAAAACCAAAAAGAAAATTGGTAATTTTAACAATCCGTGTTACCACCTTTAGCCCTTATGAAAGCTTCTATTCGCCTTGACATGCTTCTTATTAAATTGTCAACATTATCTTGGGGTATGTTTTCCCATTCTGCTAATGCTGCATCAATAAGCTGTGCGAAATTTCCTGAATTGTTTCGACGAGCTCCCAGCATAATACATTCCCAGAACATTACTGTTCTTCCTTGACATCTTGGGACAGATCTGGCAGCGTGGAGTCTTTGCTCATCTTCCTGGAACTCTGAGAACCCCAATTTGATGGTCATCTGATCTTAGGCAAATTCTGGTCTCATCCGAAAAAAGAACATTTTGCCAAATTCTCAATTGTTCAGTTTTGGTGTTGAAGGCACCAATATAACCGTTCAATTTTATTTTGGCTAGATAACGGTGTCACCCGTAACTCTCTCTTACTGTACAACCCTCGAGCGCGAAGTCTTTTTCTTAGGGTTTCAACTGAAACGTTTACACCTGTAGCTTCGAGAAGTTGTTCTTATAGCTCTGGATGAGAAACACTGGGATTTCTTCTAGCAATTTGGCACACAAAGCGTTCCTGTTGTTCAGTTGTGACTCTTTGACGACTTTATCTGGGCCTGTTCTTGAGAGTTTCTAGAACCAAGTACCTTTCATATGTTTTCGATACAACAACTGTCTTGGGACATTCCTTGTTCAATGAGAGCAATAATTCTTCCCCTTTGCACATCTGTTAGTCCAGCAGTCGTTTCTTCTTTATAATCATGTTTGTTTTGAACAAAAAGCCTTATTTTAAAGTTGGACACCAAATTTTTTCCTTACAAAAAGTTTATTCAGAAATACACAGCGATTCCATATAAGTTTGGTTGTGTGTATACTAATATAGTTTATAATTATAATAATGTCAAAATGACATTCAAATCCTAACATTTGATATTTAGATCAATCGGCATTTACGATTTATAATTATGACAGCTTATGACAAAAATTAAAAGCACTTACGAATAGCACAATCGTCTAGCATTAGAGAATACCATAATCCCATGCTTGTCGTATTGGTGATCAAACTTTGTTGACAAGTCCGCTTGGTTATTTTGGTGCTATGTGTTTTCGGCCGAAAGTTAGAGAATAACCCCCTCTGACTTGTTATAGATTAAGAAACTTCTCAATAATAAACTTTCAACATATTTTTAAAGTTTTTGAAATTTTAGATCTTTTAATAATCTTCAAAATAATATGTGCCATTCTGATTTTATAGATATCTTCTTTATAAATTAAATAACCTATTCTATAGCTTTTGGAGCAATGTCGGTGGAACAACTTGAATTTTCTGATCCAGTATGTTCCAATTATAATTATAAATCTCTTCTAGACTCTCTCTTTCACTATATTCAGTAGGAAGTAAATTTTCTCTAAAAAGAATTATAAAATATTTACAATATAATCATTCTATAAGTATAATTAATTTCATTACTAATTTTCAGAGGATACAAGAAACTCTTTGGAGTAGTTTATATTTTCATAAAATGTTTTCGTTCTAGGATTAGCACAAAAATTTATTTTACTTTAAATATCTAAGTTTAAAATGTATGGTATGTATTGTATTACATAATATTATTATAATTTACTTAAACATAATTTATAAAATGTTTCCAATATATTTTAGTGTTTTTGTTAATTTTGTTAACTTCAACCGTTCCCAATTCTAGGTTTTTGAATCCAAATTTCCATTGCTTCAAAGTTTGTATCGCCCATATGTTTTTTTATTTACTTACCTTTGAAACGACGTGAAACTTCTTCAAATGTATGTTTTAGGGCAAACAGACATAATTTTTAGATTTACAACTAACAAAATTCTTTAAAAAACCTACTAGAAACTCTAAAAACTTTAAAAATATGCCTTGGGAATATAAAACCACAAAATTTACAAACAAAACTTACAGTTCCCAAGAGAAAGCGAAAGTAATAGAAAAAACGGTTCATACTAGCTTCAAACCAATCCAAACCGTTAGTTATCTATTATTCATTTGTTTTATCTGAGATCTGGTGCAACAGATTGTGGATGAGACAATAACAATGTGAAACAGAAAATGGTTATTATAAATACTACCGAGTGAGATGAACAGTAAAAATGGCTGCGCCTGTAGAGTCGCACCTAGTTCTATTAATACAACATGCACTTTGGCATTCTACCCCATTCCAGGTTATTGGTACAATTCGACTTCCACCATCAACGTCGCCGTTGCCGCCTTTCACAGTAAATAAATAAACCACAACTAGTTATATGTGTAGAATTAATAGTTATTAAAAAAATATTAGCGGTTCATAAACGATGTTCGTAGAACTAACGCAAAATGAAAAATCTAATCTCTGTACTATATTCAATGATTGTGATTTGTGAAAGTTTAGCTTGAATTATTATTGAATATTTAAAAATAAAAAGCATTACACCCTGCAACATTTTAACCGTAAATAGGAAAAAGAATTTGTGAAATATATCCATCATTTCATAGTGTTTTTGTCATGTGATAACAAAAATGAGAGGTCCGAAATGTTACGCTCTTCTGTTTGGCGTGAACGTACTTACAATGTTTACTTTAGCAAAATTCCTGTGAAAAAGGCCATCAGACAACCCCAAACAGTGGTCTGCCAACAAACAAAAAGACATCATTTCAAAGTTAAACATCAGATTCATTAGGGCACTGTTTGTTTTGGTCATTTAGTCGATTCGTTTATATTATCGTCGACGCTTTTTTTATAAACATCATTTCTCAAATTAAAACATTCAAATTGTGTCTGCTGCTCTCGACACGACGCGTAAAAATTAAAACATTTTACATTTTATCTTTCTGTCCCTCCATTATAATACTTTTTTCATAATTATTTCAATGTGCTCACCGAATCATGTATACCAAAGTGGCGCGTCCCAAATGAAATTATTTCGCTAAATTACAAAAAAATGTTCTGTTCTAGAACCACTATAGAAACAATTGATATTAAGTTTTATGGATTATTCCTCTGTTAATTAATTATTATTTTCAGCAACGACAACAACAACTACTAGTCGTCCAAGTCCGCCATGGTTGATTACATCACAACCACCGATGTGGACTACCAGTAAACCACCTTCTTCGAGACCTACACATCCATCACCACCACCAAAACCGTCTGTTATGTCTCCACCACCAGCTTCTGGTTTGTACTTAACTTATTTTCAAACATTTTTTTTTATTATGCAAAATCTTTAAACTAGTCTCAGTTGGACACTGAATCATCCCATATATTCTGCAAAATATTATTCAGAGGCTTAAAAGTATGAATTAAATTAAAAAGATACCCTTTACTTTATTTATTTATCGTCTACAATAAAAGTTTTACATTTTATCTAGGTCCAACTACATCTAAAACAAAATCTACAACAGTAACACGTCACTTCTCTGTAACGCATTCATCGAAACCACCTGTACAACCAATTGAAATCATAGATTCTGAAGTAGATGATAAACTTTACCACATTCCAGAAGAAATTACCACACTTCCATTTACTACTGTTATGCCAGATGGAGAACACGAACACAATAAAGTGACATGTAAGTATTGAGTATAAAAATAATTAATCTTAATATATTTTAACATTTTAATTATTTACCAGATGACGTCACATACACATCAGTACCAAGCATGATCCCATCGTGGGGAAAAGATGGCGATACTATACCTTATCATTGTAGTCCTCAAACAGTCCGCAGTATATACTGGAACTGGACTAAAGTAAATACAACATCCATCCAACCGTGTCCCGGTGGTACAACGGGATTTGCCAAGTGGCACTGCCAAGCATTGCCTAATTCGAAAGAACCCCAGTGGTTCCCACCAAATCCAGATCTCAGCGAGTGCAGATCTGTTTGGTTAACTAGTTTAGAACAAAGAATAATCGTTGGTAGAGACCCTTTGCTGTCTATAACCAATGATTTAGCTCAAGTAACGAGCAGCAAAACGCTTTTTGGTGGAGATATGATGTTCACCACGAAAATCATACAAAAATTAACGGAAAAGATGAGCAAAGATATTGAAACATTCCAAGATGTTGTCCAAAGAGAGCAATTTGTAACTGAGTTGCTTTCTGATGTTGCACAAACTGGCAGCAACTTATTAGATGCTTCCCAACATTCGTCTTGGAAAGACTTGAGCTACAGGGAACAAATGAATGTGGCCACTTCATTGCTAATAGAATTAGAAGACAACGCTTTTCTTCTAGCTGAGACTGTAAATAGTAAAAAGACTGTAGACCGAATGTTCAAAAATATATGTAAGTATAATTTATTGTAGTGCAGATGAGGATTTCTTTAACGAAAACATATGTTTCAGTACTTTCAGTTCGAGTTTTAGATGTAAGATCTCTATCACAAGAGAAATTTCCAGAAGATGATGTTATGAAAATATGGCAAGTGAGCAATGATACCATAGAATTGCCCAGGGGAGCTTTATTAGAAAATAGTGATGGTTCCTTAGTTAGACTAGTTTTTGTAGCATTTGACCGTTTAGAAGAAATTTTGCAATGGCAACCAGAAGGGATAGATACACCTAATCCTAGCAATAATGTATCCAAAGTTCTAAATAGCAAAGTAATATCAGCTAGTTTGGGCAAAGGCAGACATATCCAACTTAAAGAACCTGTCAAATTAACCATGAAACATCTCAAGACTGAAAACGTGAGCAATCCAACATGTGTATTTTGGGATTATACTACAAATGCTTGGTCAGAAGAAGGATGCTATGTTGATTTCTTACTCTCAAATTCTACGCATACTATATGTTTCTGTGAGCATCTGACAAACTTTGCTATACTTATGGATGTTCATGCTGTGTATTTGCCCATGTCACATGAAATTGCTTTGCAAGTCATTACATATGTGGGTTGTATAATATCTATTATATGTTTAGTATTAGCAATTATCACTTTTCAGTTATTCAGAGGACTCAAGGTAATAATATGATCTACTTTATTTACTTACAACTTATTCTTCATACATTTTTTTTAGAGTGACCGAACGACAATCCATTGTAATTTGTGTATATGCCTTTTAGTAGCAGAAGTAATATTTTTGTTTGGAATTAGTCAGACTGAAAACAGAATTATTTGTGGTGTTATAGCTGGATTTTTGCAATACTTCTTCTTATGTGCTTTCTTTTGGATGTTTTTCGAAGGTGCAGTACTTTTTAAACTTAAAAAAACAAATACTCACACTTATATATAATTTATTTTTGTAGGTTTCCAACTTTATGTAATGCTTATAGAAGTTTTTGAAGCTGAGAAGTCCAGGATGCGTTGGTACTATCTAATTGCTTATGGTCTTCCGTTTATTATAATATTCATTTCCGCACTTATCTATCCACAAGGATATGGTACTTACAGGCACTGTTGGTTGCAAACAGACAATTACTTTATCTTCAGTTTTGTTGTTCCCGTTGCTGTTATAATTTCGGTAAGAAAACCAATCATTAAATACTTTTAAATACATATTAGTGCGTTGTATAATAAATTATAAAGAGTGACCAAAAAAAATGTTTCTAAGGCAAACCATTACCGACAAAGACAGAGATACAAGTCATGTCCGTGATAACTACTCTGAATTAAATCCAATCTGACGCTTAAAAAGAAGAATGAGTAACATTTTTTGTGTATCACTCCTTATATACTCATTGTTTTATATTTAAAACTTCTTTTTTAAACAGTATATTTATTTGTAATAGTATAAGTGCCCTACAAGTTTTTATATTGGTCCCTTTATACAGGGTGTCCGACTAGCGCATAATTGTTCAATATTTCAATTAATACGCAAACAAGTTTCAAATAAAAGTTATATGGATTTAAAAAATACGTCTTTTAAAAATATTTTTGGATATACAGGGTGTTGCGTTTTTGTCTGACAAATAAAAATATACATTTTAAATATAACACCCTGTATTTTATTTCATTTTTAGAATGGTTTGGTAATACTGTATTTAACCCTTTTTTTTAAATTACAGGGTTGCCAAATTAGAGAATGATGCAAACCCCAAATTAAATTATCATAATTTAGGTAGGTTTACAATGATTTCAAAATTGTTTAAAATGCAGACTTATACGATACCAAGCTAACTCATACTGGTGATAGAACTGGTTTATTTTATACAAAGCCTCTTGAAACATGTCCTAAATATGGTCAATTTTAAGTTCAATTTACTCCGTTTTTTCAAATGGAACACACTGTATATTATTTTAGCATAAAATTTCTTATAAATTTCCTTACCCAACGATACCAACATGCAAACCAGTAACACATACAGGGTGTCCCATCAGTACGTAATTGATCGATCGCTCTTTTATTATTGGAAATAAAAAAATATACATATAAAAGTTGTATGACCATGTTTAATAAATATTTGTAAATATACGGTGGTCCATAAACGAAGAGCTGACAAAACTTACACATTTTTAAAGCAAAACACCCTGCTGGTAGTTATACATATTTGATTGTTTTTACATCTTCAAACAATTTTAATTGACTTCGTTCATTTGCTATGTTGTATATAGGGTGTGTCAAAATGCGGGGTAATGATTTTCTCAATTTTTTAAATGAGAAAATTGTATCCTCATATTTTGACACACCCTATATACAACATAGCAAATGAACGAAGTCAATTAAAATTGATTGACGATGTTAAAACAATTAAATATATGGATCACCCTTTATATTTAAGAATAATTGTTAAATACATACATCTTTTATATTAAAAATTTCTTCATATTTCTAATAATAAAATGGCTATCGATCAATTAGGCACTGATGGGACACCCTGTACATTTGTTATTGGCTAACATATTGGTTTCGTTATATAGGCAAATTTATAAGAAATGTTATGCTAAGATAATATACAGGATGTTGCATTTGAAAAAATTGACTAAATTGAACTTAAAATTAGCCATATTTAAAACATGTTTCAAAACACATTGTATAAAATAAACCAGTTCTATCACCACTATCCATTAGCTTATGAGCCTGTATATTAAACAATTTTGAAATCAATGTAAACCTACCTAAATTTCAAAAACAAAATTAATTGCCTGGCCACATTGAAATATTTTTTAAAAACATTCTAGGATTGAATACAGCATTACCAAACCATTCTAAAAATAAAATAAAATACAGGGTGTTCTATTTAAAAAACATACTTTTTATTTGTCAGGCAAAAACGCAACTCCCTGTATATCCAAAAATATTTTTAAAACATGAATTTTTCTAGTCCATATAACTTTTATTTGAAATTTACCTATAATACAAATTGAAATATTGAACAATTACGCACTAATGGGACATCCTGTATTTTTGAACTACGTTTAGACATTTATACGATACGTCATAACTATTGAGGCATAAAGTAAGCGCAGGTTATTTGAATCAAAATATGACGAAAATGTTGCTGTTGAAAATTGATTGTTCTTTTTTCCTTTTTTTTTTTGGATAATTTCACAACATATTCATAGATATTATTTAATTCAATATTTTTCATTTTGATTCAGGATGTGGCCACATGAGCTATTCCTGAATTGGATCAAACTTTTGTTGACAAAACTTTAGTAGTTGTGATTAGAAATTATGATATAAACATAATTTTTTAAGTAAAATTATACTTGTTTCAACTGTTTTAGAGAAAAACGCAATTTAACATATCGTCGCTTTTCCGGAATACTGTTGCAATGCAAAAAACCTTTTTTTACAGGAGAGCACTTTTACATTTTCTCACAACTTCATTTGCTTTCCATTAGTCGTCGGCAAGTAATATCGCCTTGTAAATTATATAAAAAATTTAATATTTTTCTTGGTTTCTTAATATTCAAATAGGTTTCTTGAATTCTGATTGTTTGGATAAGTTAGGAAAATATTAATACTCCAGAATTTCCTAAACCATCTGAACAATTTTCATCCTAAAGTCCAGTTCACCATGAAAATAGAAGAAAACCGACAAATTCCTTTCCTAGATGTATTAGTCATCCGAGAAGACTAGGCCACAAAGTTTACAGAAAGCAGCCACATGGATACCTACAATATGGATCCAACCATTATCGAAAACAGAAGCACACCTTAGTAAACAGAGCTTTAAAGATATGTGAACCAAGACACATTAACGATGAAATGAAACACCTGACAACTGTGTTACAAGCAAACGGACACAGCAAAAAAGACATAATCATGTCTTTATTTTTAATCCGTGCTACGCGCCTAAGAGAGAATAAGAACAAAACCAAGGAACTGTCTATATACCGTATGTAGAAGGTGTCACTCATCGTATTGAGAAAATCTTAAACAAAAAGAAAATCAGCATTGTCCACAAGCCAAAAAAGAAAATAAGGGAATATCTCAAAACAGCGAAAGACCGCAGAGACCCCCTCAGATCAGCAGGAGTCTAGAAAATTCTATGCATTTGAGAAAAAGTATACATAGGATAAACAAAGAGAAGCATTAGTACATAAACGAAGTTGTACTTTAAGACAAACTGAAAAGTGTAAAGTCGCCGATCACACATTATCCGACGGAGAACATAAGATCCTTTTGGAAAACACCGACCTACTAGCAAAATCAAAACATTACTCGACCAGATTGCACTTGTGAGCCTATAGAAATACACAAACAACAAAAGAACTTCAATAGAAAGGAAGAAAAAAGTCAATTACCTAGGGTCTGGCACACATCATTAAAAAGCACGAAAATAAAACCGCCCAGTACCAGTAACCAGTAACGTCAAAAAAGCCCGCGCTGACACGCATATAAATACCACACTCGAAGCGAAGGAGGATTCAGTTTCAATTTGATACGTCGAGAAGAGTACTTCGTCCACGCTACTGAAGATGGCTGCCGGAATTGCAGCTGAAACGTTGGTAGTAATAACCAAGAAAGACCAGAAATAATTACATTGACGCCGGCCGTGAAAGCCTACATTCTAACAACTTTCTAATTAACAAAAAAAATGTGTAATATCATTGAAAATTGAACAAAAGACAAAATTCTTCGATGGTTAAGTATGATTCGACCAGAAATTGTAGACAAACTAGAAATACTGATGGGTGAACGCACCACAGCACAATATTTGTCCATCTATTCTCGTGTATTCACTCATCCAGTTACGATTATTGGTCGAACTATGCAGCAAACTATTTTTATTCAAACTGGTATAAAACTTGTAGTAACTTTTTGGTATTATATTCTTTTCAACAAGTTTCCGTAATGCCTTCTTCTTCTTCTCTGGTCGGACAGAAAGTTTTTGTTTGTAGCTTTTTTGAAACTTCTTTAAGCCTAATTTTTATTTTCATACCGCCATATCTTTATACGATTCCTTGAACTAAACGTGTATCACTTTCAGCTTGATCTTAAGATTTTTCGGGAAAATATTTTTTTCTGGAGCGAGTAATTAAAAATTAAAAAAAAATACGTAAATAGTATTTGTTCTTTTCTAAAAATATCACTTAACTCGTCACTCCCTACAACAATGAATATGTACAGGATATCTGTAGTTGGAATAAAACAGGACGGTAATCTTTATGGATAAAGGGCTTAGCAACAACTATTACGTTTTGTTTATTTTGTACAAGGTGATCCTAAATCATGGTCAATAATGGAGAAAATTACTCCTTTGTCTATTTATGACCTAATTTTTTTTAATGTTATAGGGCAGCCATACTTAACCCGGGCCGCATGCGGCCCTTCCAAGCTTTTTTGTGGGCCCAAACACTATTATTAAGGTGTTTTTAAAAACTAGAGGTTTCTCTTTTTAAAATTGTTAAAAAGCGCGAAAACATTCATCGGTCGCTGCACTAAATACCACGCTAATTTTTAAATAAACGTTTCGATCATAGGGTTACTGCAACAACAAGATACCTCCACTTTCGGTATTCGAGTTAAGTACACTTTCATCTCCAAAATATGTGATTATTTGAAGTGCTGTGTTGTGGATAGTGTTCAGAGGTGCAGTGTCTGATGGTCGGCTCCCCAGGTTTTATTTGAAAGCAATTTTAGAAGATTGAGTCTTTTGTGGCAGGATAAGATCAGATTTTTAATGTGAAGATTCCATGTTAAAGATGAGTCAAAGGTCATTCCCAGAAACCTTATGGATGATTCGGATTTTAGATTTTTATTGTGAAGTGTTAATTCAGGTGTGACAGCAGAAAATAGGGTGTAACGAGTATTAGCGGTAGAAAAGGTAACGCCAGTTTGCTGTGACCAAATCTCCAGTTGGTTAATAAATTGTTGGGTATATGAAAAAATATTGTTTATGTTCTTGCCCTTGTAGAATACGACTAAGTCATCTGCATATAGACGTGCTTTGACTGGTGGTTTAAGGCCTTTCAGTATATAATTAATAGCTATTATAAGGAGAGACGGGCTTATTGTGGAACCTTTGGGAAGACCGCTTTCAAGTATCATTTCATTTATTTTGTTGAACGTATTTGTTGAAATACTTATCATTTTGCCCAAGCCATTTGTTTTGCCTAGAGCCGTCTCTGGCCTTTCTCGATTTGTCCGAAATCGACAAGGTAATTATGTCACCCTTTATTTCTACGATACTGCTAACCTTTAAAAAACAATAAATGATAACACGTGATGCCCAAATCGCCGTGGTGAACCAATGATTGGTCAAGCCGTAACAAGTAATTGGTCAGGCTGTAACGAGCGGGAATGCTGACGCTCGTCTCCTTATTGTTTTTGTGTTAAAACGACCAAAAGCACTTCTTAAATCACCTAAACAACACTGAAACACCAGCTTTTCGCATTTCTTGAAAAACCCAAGCCATACTGGCCGAGGGATGGCCGAAAGAGTAAAAAAAGCTCTGAAAGTACTTAAAAAAAGTGCAAGGCATTAGTAATGCCAAGAAGAAAGATTTACTAAAACTTTGCAAATCAGGTGCTACACCTGATGAATTTCACCATTATTATCATAATGTACCTATATCCAATAATGATAAAGACACAGTACCTCAACCTTCCATTGAAGATAGCGTCACATATATTGAATATTATGACCTGTATGTAGACAGCTAAAATAAGCAGTGAAGTTTTTTCTATTTGGTTACAAATCGATAGATTCTTATTCTATACTTTGTGAAGGCTAATTATGTTTTGAATACCTTGTTTTCATTGGAGTTATTGTTTATCAAACAGTTTAAAGTTTATACTGATTTTTTATTCAATTTTAAACCTTTGAACAGCGTTTTCTTGAAAAATGTGTTATCTTGTTTTTGCAGTAACCCGACAGGATATGTTTATGTTTTATTTATTAGAGATTCCCACTAACTAATTTTAAATGGATGGTCTAAATAAAGGGTCATCATCCAAAAATATTGCGGCCTGTGTAACATAACAAACATATACGTATGTGACCAGAAGAAAAAAAATGGTTGAGTACGGCTGGTATAGGGTGTTAAAAAAAACTTTAGTTATAAAATAGGCCAAGGAAATACCTCCTTAAATATTGACCTGATATTTAGGAACAACCTGTATATGCCAGAGTTCTCTACTTTTCATGAATGAGCTCGACAACTGAAAATTTAAGCAAATCAGTTGGACGTACCTCCTTTATTCAGAACAAATTCTAAAGAAGTCCTTTCCCCACTAGTAGTTCAGTTAAAAAAAAATGTTTCAGCTTCATCCACTCGACTCGAACCTTCAATTTTTATAGGAAACAAGGTATTTCGAGATACCGCACAGTTATGAAGACTGTTAGTGCGAATAGCGTTCAAATCAAAATACATCACTTAGCTCACAAAAATGTTTCATTATAGCATAAATTAGTTTTAAACAAAACTGTTTCATACAAGAGTGATTCACGACAACTTCGCATAGCAGAAATTTTTTTTTCTAAAAATTCTGCTTCAACTTGAGAAATAACAGTGCTTCTAAAATATAACGCTAAATTGGAAATACAACATTACGGAAACAAATTGCGATAGGCGATTTACTCGTGACTGGTAGTTGCAAGATTAATCTATAAAAAAAGAATGGCGATTTCTGCCTATGAAATAGCGATGCATTTCCTACCTAGCAAAAATTGATACAGATTCGGAGATACAGCACTATTCATCGCAAAATAAATTTTATACCAATTCACATGAAAATCTCGATTTTCACTTTTTCAAGTTACAACAGTATTGTGGAAAAGCGACGATATGCCTTTCTCATGCAACAAAGTATCTAGACTCAACGTGTTCAATAAATACCCACAATATATAAAACTGCTATCTACTATAAAACACACAACCTTAAATGATTTCTGTCAGAGTTTCTTCTATTTTATAGAAGAGTTTTATTTTTTAATTGAAATTATTTGATGTACGATTCTGTCTTAGAAAATAAAAAATTGTTCTGAAATATTCGATGATATTTTAAATAATTGTTTCAGCTGAATGTAATATTTTTGATAATGGCGATAATAATGATGTGCAAGCACTCTAGTAATACAGTGTCTATGAAAAATAAGGAACATTCCCGCCTTGCTAGTACTAGGTAAGTTTTGTAGTTGATACTTTCATTTTAAAATACTGTTACTTTGATTCTTGATTATATACAGTGGCGCATCCAGAGTTCAAGTCCGGGGGGTAGTGGTAATATTTATGACTTTATTTTTTATAATAATACAGTTTAGTACCTATAAAAAGTAAGGTTTAAAAATTCTTGAGGGTAATTAGTCACATTACCCCCTCGTATATGCGCCCCTGTTTATACATATTGTTTCAACAAAAATTGAGTATGAATTGGATACTTTATTTATAAAAGCATTGGTAGTTTGTTTAGTTGGTATTTTAGTGTGATTATAGGTTGAATCTGCATGTAATTAAATTTGACAAAAATAATATATATCTTTGTTCTCCATGAAATGTTTTTTTTAATCTCTTTATACAACAGTATTTTTTTAGTTATTTCTTTTTGTGAAAATGTGTATAAAATTATTTATTTAAATTGTGTAAATGAACGTTGCAAGCATGTTTGTTAATTTTTCATGATTGTATAATTATTTAATTTCCAATTTCGATCAAAAGCGGTTTTGTTTAATAGCACTTTAAAACTCTACATAAAGTCACAATTAAAAATAAATCCCTAGAATTATTAAATTTTATAGCAAGATTGAAAACAATTTTAATTATTATAAATCCTCAATATTATTTTTGCTTTCATTTAGTTTTAATACCTTTAAATGTATTTGTATATTATTAACGCTTTAATATCCAAAATGTAAAAATAGCTAAAAATATTAACAAAAATAAACTGCATTTTGGAGATGGTAATACCAAAATAATCCGTTTTAAAACAAATTGGAGCAAATTTTTACAGGAACAAAAATATTTGGACTGGCAACTAATTTTCAATGTTTTTTTTTTATTTTTCACCTTTTACTAGTTTAACAATTTTTTTAAATCTACATAAAAAATTGAAAGTCATAATTTTTCACTTGGATCATTTTATATATTTTTTAATAACATTTCGTTGTGTAAAATATATATAGGATGTTTTATTAATAATTGTCCATATGCAAACTGGAGAATCCTTGACCCAAAATATGCCGATTTAACGTAAATATTCCTTCTAACCGAGAACATGCATATTAGGACACTTTCTCTTAGTACAGTAGAGGTAGATAGTTTTCATCCTCTACATTCTATGCCACTGTCGTAAATGTTACAATGACATATTTATTTAAAACATCATTATCTAATTTTTTTTCGACTAGTCCGGTCATGTTCAAATCCTTTAAGTCCTTCTCTGCCTTATTTGGGCTTTTTACGGCCTTCACTTTTCGCATTAGCCACCAAAAATATTCGACGAAACAAGTCACCTCCGAAACTCTCCTGTATACGTCAGTGTCGGTCAAGGTAGATACTAGTCTAGTCGAATCAATAGCATGTAGAATGTTCGAGACAAGGTATAAGTGTCACATTTTTATATAAATAGTCAAAAATTTGTTGTTATAAGGGAGTTCAGTTGAGATATCGCTGTGAGCGGATTAATATAAATTAGTATATAAGTATTTGATACGTAAATTAGTATAGTATATTTGGTCTTAAAATAAAGTGGATTCTTAGTGTAAATAAATAAAATAAATAAACGGTACAATAATATTTTATTTAGGTGGAATATTTTATGTAAGTCTTTTAGGTTAAATCGTCATATTTTGGATCAAAGATTCTTCAATTTCAATATGGGCAATTATTAATAACACCCTGTATATATTTCTCAATAAGGCGTTTTTTTAAATTCATGTATTGAATGTTGCATTTTTGCTTTTAAAGACACAATAGATATTTAAAAATTGTGTTAAAGGAATTGAAGATAGAGAGAAAATTATAAAGTGGTGAATTAGCATTATTCTTAATAAAGGAATACTAAGGATACTAGTTTCCAAATGTAAATATTAAAAGTTTAATAGTCATACATCTGGTTGCAAAAAACGATAATTAAAATATATGGGTTTGCTAAAATTTTACAGAGCTTGAGACTGTGATGAGTTTGAATGATATGAAATTCAAATTATGCAGTCTAATAAAGTTATCGAAGCATTAGCTATTGAGAGATTTAACAAGGGTTTTTGCAACTGAATGTTAGACTAACAAATAATATAACGTCAGAACAATATTTTGTTTACTAAAGTTTACTCTAATTTGCTTTAACTAATTTGTGGCACGGTATTAATTCTAATATGATTTCTCTCTCTTGCATGGCGATCTTGTCCTATGGTAGTGGAAAGGAGGAAAATGCACTTCATACCAAATTTCAAGCTAATTTGTAAGAATTTTCTTTATTGTCTTTCTTACTATAGAGTAGTGCACGATTAGTATTTTTGCATGCTTTTTAAATTCCAACAATGGAAAGGCCATGAAAACAAGAAAAAACTGAAACCATTAGGATTTTTCCCCCAAATATGTTTAATAAATCAATAAGAGTGGTATCATATTAATCCGAAATTTTATTTTAATTTATATAAAAAGTTTGTTCGATATTAGATAGCATAATGGGCTCCAAAAGTGCGTGTACATATTTCTAGAAAGAAAACAAACATGTTAGTGGTGAAATTAAAGGCGATACAATTCAATTATCAAAGGTATTTAAAGCTCAGCAGAAGGAGCACAATAATACATCCATCGATGTCCCACTCATTTAAAATCTAAACCTAAACTAGTATTAATAAGGAGTGATCCATCTTTGTCCCTTTTACACAAGTTTGTTTAAGTCTTTGACCCAGTCTGTTCTATAAATCTTGGATCAACCTGTAATTCAAAAAGTGTTTGTATTTTGCAATCAAACGTTTTACAGTCGCAGTCTGATTCCTTGTGACATAGTCGACCCAGTATGTTTCCATTGTATACACCTATTTTGTTCAGTTGTCCTTTTACCAAGGCATTCCCGGTCATGAGTCCTGTTATTGTTTTCAACTGGTTCCTAAACATAGAGAGTAGTTCTCTCGTCCTTTTTGAGTATGGTTTTTCTATATTTGTGCTTGTTTTGGGACATTCTCCCAGTAATTGTTTTTTCTGAACTCAGTCTTGTATGAAACCTCGAAATGGTTCTTTTTGGTACTCCAAGGTTTATATCTGGTTCCGGTGTTTCTTCTGACCTTTCAGTCTGTCAGTGTTCTCAGTGTATACTTATCGAATTAGGCAAAATAAAAGGGTCCTGTACGGTTTTCATCGTTATATATCAATGTTATGGATCAAAAAATAAAAGTAGTTATATCATTCCTATTTCTACATCTGAATTTGCTTCTATTTCATATTTATGTTATGTTGTAATTGGGTGTTAGATACACTGCGACTTAATGTGTCCCTTCTGTCGCTAAGGCGGCCTAAGTAAATAGTATCTTCGTCTAAAATAAACATTCCAATCCTATTTTATACAATAGGTTTTCAAAAATATTTATTCTAACTATTTATTAAGAAGTAAATATAAAGTTAAAATAAGTAATCTTCATTTTTCCTACTTTTAAATCTTCAAAAGTTTGGCGGGAGCTTACCGAACCACTTAGGCATTCATCACCGAATATGTCTCGTAAATTTAGCACTTCGATAGTGTGATCCTTCTTGCTCACATCACCTGCACATGAACCTAATTCTGTGAAGTGTTTGCGAAGTTGTTACAGTTTCCTAATTTTCTTCTTCATCTAAGTTATGCAGAACAATTGCTGAACCTGTAAAAAAACTGCCCTAATTTTCAGTGAACATAATATTGTATAGAATACTAACACATTTGAAAAAAACCTTATTAATATAATTAGGTATAATTCCAAAAATAACCCGCTGTAAAATATTAAGTATACTTTAGTGGTAATTCTGTAATTCAATACGTTTATTTTTAACGGGCGTTAAATTTTGCGATTTTAACATAAATTGTAATTCTGTAAAAATAAAATTAACGCATACATTAAATTTTCGAATCAATTAACATACGTTAAAAGTATGGTTAAGTTCTAAGGTCTGTCAAATAAATGTCATTCCTTTTGTCAAATAAATTGTATCTGCCTGTTTTTGCACAAGAATATTGAAAAAAGTAGCGGCCGAATGTACTTTATAAACTATTTGGTAGGCCATCAATTTTCAATATAAACAAAACTAACCCCAGTAATCTTATAATAGTGCCCTTCTACGGCAAATCAATTACTAACTACAAAAAGTTTATATACACTATAAATAAAATTTCTAAATACAATTTGTATAATTTCTACTGTTAAAATTACCTGAGTACTTTTAAAATGGTCCATTTTATGATTTTCTCGCATTATAAGTTGACTTAAACAATTAAAAATCATAATTTCTTATATGCTAAGTTTTAAAGCCTACTAATTAGGCATTCCAAACAAAATGGTTACCAGTGATAGGTTAGATGGCAAAATTATGGCAACCCTGTAGGCCTGTTAATTTGACAAGGTCAATGAAATAGATAATTATATAGATTGATCATCCATTTTTAAAAATAAACATAAGATTATGCCTTGAAGTAAAAATGTAGGTAATTATTTTTTTTACTATATTCAAAGGCTAAATATTTGTTTGTAAACACATTTTTGCAAAATCGATTCTAATTAGGCATTCCAAACTGAATGACTACCAGTGGGTTTTGACGGGTTATGATATGGCAAAAGTATGGCAACCCTGTAGGCCTGGTGATTTGACAAGATCAATGAAATAGATAGTTACATAGATTGATCATCCATATTTTTCAAAATAAACATAAGCTTATGCCTTAAAGTAAAAATATAAGCAATTATTTTTTTTAAATACCTAAAGGCTAAAAATTGGTTTTAAAACACATTTTTGCTAAACCGATTCAAATTAATAAATATTTACCAGACAATATGGCCGCTCGTAAACGACCAGCTTTGAGCAATCTATATAACTATATATGTATCATTGACCCTGTTAATGACAACATGACAACAGGGTTGCCATATCTAAACTGTCATTACCCACTAGTAGCCATTTGGACAGGTCGTTGGAATGCCTAATTAATGAGCACTTGCGACGCAATATGGCCGCTCGTAAACGACCTGCTTTGAGCAATCTATATAACTATGTATGTATCATTGTCAATGACAACAGGCTCACAGGGTTGCCATATCTAAATGTCAGTTCCCACTTGTCAGCAGTTTGACATTAAATTAACACATATATGTTAAATTTTTAACATATTTCTGCTTATAGAATAGATTTTTGCGGCACAAATGAACCATTATGTTAATTATGACAAGTTAAAATTTTTCATGAATTTACAGAATTGCTTTTCATATTTATTATACGTTATATTTTTAACGTCCTTTAAATTTTAACATAATATTCGTTATAGAATTACCACTTATATGATTAATTTTTAGGTATTGATTGCTTACGGAAAAAACAGCATGTATATAAATATAATAGATTGATGTGTGTACACCTTAAACCCTGTATATAAATTTTAATTTGATAAGCCGCCTTTAAAACTAATAGTGTCCAAATTTCATAAAAATATGTAAATATTTTACTTATATTTGTTGGGTTTTAGGATATTTACATGAACTATTCTACGTATTATTTTTTATTAAAAAAATATGTATTATTTTTCGCGTTTTCCTCCAAAATTGTTGAGATTTGGATACGTTTTGTCAGTTTGGATGTCAGCTATCAAACATTAAAATGTATTTACATCTTTATCTAATCTAATTCACAAAATGTATGTAGTATTTTTTTTTGTTTTCATGGTTGGCTTGAAGCTTATTAGCAACACTTATTGATGCAGTAAAGATTTTGAAAAAAATGTTTTATATTTTCGCAGGGCCTGGTTGAAAGGAGCCTTCATTCTGGTGTTCCTCTTAGGTTTAACGTGGACTTTTGGTTTCTTGTACCTAAATAAAGAATCAGTTGCCATGGCATACGTTTTTGCAATTTTGAACTCTTTGCAAGGATTCTTCATTTTCTTATTCCATTGTATACAAAACGAGAAGGTAAGATGTTGCCTTTGCAAGCAAAATTCAACGTTATTGTAAAAAACTACATATTTAAAACTAGAAAGCCAACGTTACAAACTATATGAGAAAAGGAGATAGTCAAATGAATTAATTGGAAATTGTCTGTCTATATCAAATAAACTTAAATATGAGAGATATTAAAACTCTCGGGGAATATATTTACTTCTAATTTTCACTTTTCCCGAAAAGTGGTATTCTTGAATGAACGTGAAAGCCAAGGGAGGAAAAAGTGAGTGGTGAAAATAAAGGCAGATTTGCCAGATTGTTGTTGACCAATTAGGCATTCCACGAGCGTCTGCCCAGCATTGAAGGAGACCCGACGACTCAAATCGGATGTAAACGAGAATATTTCAAATCATTTTAGATATTTTTTAAATATTCGCTGTGATAGCAAATACAACTTACGTATTTAAAGCGATGAGTGATTTTTTTTTAATATATTTTATTAATAAAAAGTAATAAGCACAGAACAGATAAAATAAAATAATTATAAACTTAAAGTTAAGGGGATTCTTACCTTTTTCTGGACGGTGCATTTCTAATTTTCATTTTTATTTGGTAACATGTAACCTAGTAAAACCGACGTGAAGATTATTTTAGTTGAATGACCGAACACTCCCTATATTAAAATTACATAAAAATCAAAGTAATTTTGTGTACAAAAAAGATATTAGACACACAGAAACACGTGCAGTCGTAGCGCCCAATCCCGAGGATCACTTGTTGTTGCAGGCCGCCGCGTCGCCAAGACGACAAAGAAAGCATGCGAAGGATAGAGAGAATACTCTTGGATTTTGCATTAAAAACAATGCATTTTTAAAATGGAATTGTGGCAATTCTAACGCATCAAATTAATTGAAATTTTGAAAGCAAATTAGGAACATATAAAAAAAGTCCGCTCTTCCTTCGTTTTTTTGATATTTATAAAAATGTACGCGTAATAATTTTTTAAAGTTGGTCGAGTTTTTTTAATGTGTCTCCTATAGATTTTTGAAAAATTTTAAATGAAGAGTAATCTAAGTTTCAGTTGTTTATACAACATATATATTTTTTAATAACATCGGATAACTAGATCAATTACAATTCCTTTCCAAAAATCCTTCAAATTAAAGCCTATTTTCAAAAGTAAGAATCCTCTTAATAAACGAAACATCATCGGCAATGGCAGTATAAAATATTTTGCGTTTTGTTGTTGATTCGCCCTGTCTTTAAATTTACGTTATTTTATTTCGTATATTATTTAGTAAATTTAGAAAAAGTTAGGATTTTTACCGAAAATAAATTTCAATCATTGATTAATGATTCTGTATCTGTAATGTGTGGAGGATGGCTTACCCCACGGCACTTAGGCTCCACTAGGCCCATTGTGCATCCTCCTAAGTAGATAGGCACCTCCTAGCTCGTGAGCCAGCCTACAAATTTAATGTTGTTGACTAGAGGTGTGTCATTCGCGAACGATTCGTTCAAAAAGAACGATTCAGTGGACTGACTCGAATGAATTGATTCCCTGTTTTTAAAAGATTCAAATCTTTTTTGAGTCAATTGCTCGATGGCTCTGCGATCGATCAAACATGCTTAGTTCCGAGTTTGGTTGCTTCGTTCATTCGATTCGGATTCGAAGATTTGGTATTTTACATCGGCATCGGCAAATTGGTCGCTTTTGTTCTACGTTCTACGTTCTACGGCATAATACGAGAACTCTAACTGACAGGCGGTGGCGGTATGTGTCTTTATTGTTTTTCTCACTTTACGGGAGGTGTATTAAGCTTAGGTAAACAATTTATGCGTGTTGTCTGATAAATAAATTTAAATCAAAGTAAAATTAAAACAATAAATGACGAATCGTGAATATATAATTTTGCGTTAATTTTGGCTATATATTTAGCATTTAAAAAAAATTGTGTTATTGTTGTTTATCTTAGCGGACAAGGATGTATCTATTATTCAGCTGCATTTTTTTTATGAAATATGAAACATTAATTCGCTTTACTTTAAAATAAAGCTGGTTATAATTATTTTACTCGACGACCTAGTAGGTTGGTAGGTTAGGTAGTATTCAAATTCGTAAAAGTCCGGTTCGATTTCATTCGCCGGATCGGCGGAATAACATCGTTCGTGGTTCGCTAAAGTGAATCACTTGAGAACGAATCTTGAAGAACGAATCTTTTTAGGTGAATGAATCAAATGAATTAATTCAGTAGAAAGATTCTCACCTCTATTGTTGACAACGTCGCCAAGAGGTGCTTCTCTTATATCGGCCGGTATTAGCCAGTACTCGCCGAACACAAATCTCCTAACAAATGAGAGCGTCGAGCAATCGTAGAGGATCTGACATCGTAACAATGCGCTTTGGCAAACTTGACAAATCTTACTGTTTGTCATTTTCAAAAGTAAAGTTGGTTTTACATTGGGAAAAATAAGTGTACCACTTTTATATGACGCCAAGTGTACTATAGTGGGACTAGTGGAAGCAATAAAAAAAACTCCAAATATAACTTTAAGCTTAAATGATTTAATTGTGAGATTTATACAAGTAATGTTTTATGAAACTAACCACAAAATAGATGTACTCATAGATTTACTAAAAAGAAATTACGATTTAAAATGTAAAACATCTGTGAGTTTATGAGCTGCAAAGATTAATTTCATCATGTGTGTAAAATTCTTCATATAAATGTGTTTTCATTTTATTTATATGTGGATGGTACCCACATACTTTGATTACTATACGGGGCAAGAGAGAGGTCCGACACGCCCGACATAGGGCGCGGCCATTTTGAACCCTATGACACAGATTATAGCTAAAGAATCAGATCGCTCACTCTGCGTCGGCACTTTTTATCTCAATGTTCCAGTTTATACACTGCGCAACTCAGATAATACAATATATGACAACCGCCTATAATAAAACAGCAATCTTCTGCGTATCCTGAATTTGTATTCCTGGAGTGGATGGTATTTTGGAACTTTCAACTGGTCCGAGTGAGCTAACTGATTCTTTAGCAATAAACTGTGACTCCAAAAATAATATTCACTGACACTGACAGCAGCAAGCAAAATATCAGGTGCGTTTTAATCATCCGCTTATGCTTCCGGAATTGTCGGTTCAGTCGTTCTAACCTGTCAGATTAAAACAAGAAAAGCGATAAATGTAAAGCAGAAGCGGATGATTAAAACGCACCTATTAAAAATATTGCGCCAAGATGTAGGCAACACGTAATAAGGATTCAAAATGGCGGAGTTTTCTATCTCCTTTTAAAAGGCACTCAGAAAGCTGTGTAGTGAGACTATTCTCCGTATAGTAAAAGAAAATCAAAGTATGTGGATGGTACCATTATAATAACATCACATATATTATGATCTTGGTCGATAGCTGCGTACACTAGCACCCTACTTATCCAATGGATGGTAAGCAAGGAAAAGGAAACAAAATTATTGATTACTGATTCGAAATTAAGAAGACAAGACATGACACAAAGACGCGACATTTTTTAAAAAGACATTATTATTAAGTTATCATATATATTTGGATTTTTTAATGTTAATAAATTATTTTTTTTTAATATTTAGATGAAAATTATTTAAATGGAAATTGCTACCTACACCAGACAAGGATTTTCTTCTGTTGAATCACTTTCTCCATGAAAATGTAGTGAAAAAATATAAGTATCAATCGATCGAAAAACCTTTGTCACTTCGATCAGATTTTTTCACTCATAATGCTCATTTTGAACATGTTTCAATATGTATTTTGCCTAATGATTTGATAGTTTTTTTACGATATTGTAGGCAAGTCTTTGGAAAATTTATAAATGTATTACCTTTGAATGATTTATACCGTGTGTCACTTTTGCTTACTCATAACAATACCGTTTAGGTTTTCCTTTCCGTACAGATAATTGTTTGCAAAAAGTGATTTTTCAATTCAGACACTTATTACTTTACTTTTTTCCCTTTTTTAAACCAATACACTTAAAATTAATATTTATTTATTTTAATTTTTTACACGTGGACATTTTAACATGCTTGTTAAAAAAAGACAGTACGAAAAATATCTAATACGGACGCATGCGCACAAAAAAAATTGTAATGAAAAGGCCTATAAAGGAAATGGCGGTCGCTCAAAATCGACGGATGATTGTAAATGTCATCAAAATTATTCCTATTTGGTTACATTTATAATATCCCTTGAAAAAAATGGTTACTGACAATCAATCAGAAATTTATTCAGTGTATTTTTAATGTAAATACTTTATGACAGACGCGATTAAAAACGCGCGGTCGTAAACCAAGAAAATTTTGCAGGTATAATTAAATAAGTGCTCTATCCGAATTTTAAGCAAATCTTATGCTATTTCGTTTCGATAATAATGACATTCTGTTTCCAACAGTATATTTTTTGTAACAAACCTTATTGAACTCGCCCACAGATATGTAAATAACATATTTTTTACTTTTTGTAGAAAAAGTGTCTTTCAAAAGTATGGTCTGACTGATTAGAATTGCACATTATTGTTCAAAGACAGTCCGATTACTTTTACTTTTTTAATATAGTGGAATTTGTTGGCTTTCTTGTTTTTTTATTTGTTTTCAAAGTATGTGAAAATATTAATTTATTGTTGGTATGTTACTTTTTTATTCATAGTTAGAACAAAATTTTATATTAATAAATATTTACTATTGTTAATTTCATTGTTTTATAATACGTTTACTAAATTATTCATATTAGCATATTTTGATTGTTTTCTTATTTTTATAATAAATTTCATTCAGATAAACGTACAACTAAGACATACATTATTAAAAAAATATGTTCTCCTGTGTTATCTATGTGTTAGGATTAAGATAGTGTAATACAGCAATGTACATAGTGTTGTAAAAAATAAATAATTTAAAAAAATATTGTCAGTTGATTTTCAATTTTAAATTTGTTGCATTTTTTATTAAGTAGTGTTAGATATTATAGGATTACCGAAAGAATATTTAATTAAAATCCGAATAATATGCAATCAATGAACGAATTTATTTTTACTTATTATAACTATATTATTATTTAAAATAGCTATTCAGATTTTTTTTAAGAAAAAAGAAAATGTGTAGAACCCCCCTCTGAATGTAATTAGGAATGGAAAGTGTTTTTAATGCAGTGACTACAAATATAATAATTTTTTTATTTGTGCTTTATACAGGGTGAATCCTAAGTTGATACTTTTATTAACTGTGTATAAAAGTTTAGATATTTATTTAAATTTCTGCACACAGTTAAAAAAGTATCAGCTTATGAATTATCCTTTATAACATCGGGTGGTGAGATGGGAAGAAATAGTTCATTGTCCTAAAGAGGAATTCCAGTTTCTAAGCAGTAACGGTATTTTATGCCAAAATATGTATGAGATAGTAAAGAATTCTAAAAGAATTATCAGCATGTAGATTGTCAAGGATAGTGCTATTTATTTGAGAGTACATACAATTATTGTCTTTTGTAGGTAGTCCACGAAATTTTATATATAGTGGAAAACCACAAGCTTGAACTTTTCCATGTAATCGGAGTTTTTGTAATTCGAGGTACTGCACTATACTAATAAAGTAAGAAGCTTCTGCCATCTTCCATTATTGCAAGTCTTACATAAAAGATTTTTAATTTACTTTTATTCCAATAATATCTAACACTATATTTATTAAATTATTTATTTTAACAGCACCGTATCTAATTATTTTGCTTGTTGCTCCCATTTATTATTTTTTTTATTTATATTGCACATATTGATTTCGTTAATTTATCCCCTAGGTGCGGAAAGAATATCGAAAAGTAATAAGAAAACACTCATGGCTACCTCAGTGTTTGCGTTGCTCAAGTCCTGGTGGTAGCTCCGGCAGTACCAGCGGAAGTTCAGGCATGGCGAAGGAGAGAAGAACCAGCCTGTACGGCGGCTCCAATGGGAACCCTTCGGGCGGTACCAACTCGCATTCCACCGACAATTCAGTTCTGACTCCGCATGGAACTAGTGTGGGTACCAACAGTGTAGTCAATAACCTTAATAATGCGCGACCAACTGCGCTTGTCCAGATTCTGTCTAGAACTGATCTCAACAATGCTAGTACCACCACGACCAACCATAAAAGGCCGCACAATGTCTCGCAACAAGGTACTATCTGAAAAATGCTTAACCAAGTGCAGCTCGTTTTGTCTCTCCCTACTCTAATGTAATATGTTTTTGAGTTGATGGCTTCATTCTCTATAATAGAAATGACCACTTTTATCTTTGGCACTAATTCTTAAAATTGTCAAATATACCCTAAAAATCGACAAATGTATAATGTATTTAGTAAAATTTACATAGAAAAATACCTGCTTAAATCAAAGAGCGTTTAGGACAAGAATTACCTATGAAAAATTAGAATAAAGCTATCGATGTCCTAATGATCCCCTTTTAGGGATGTTAAAAAAAAAATGATTTTTTTGAGAACGCTGCACAAACGGCTAGTCTGATATAAAAAGTCTCTTCATCTAGAGGATATTTGTGACAAAAAAAACCCGATAGAGTATTACCCTAGTATTTAGAGTGTCATGAAGAGAGGCATGTCTTGTCATTGAAGAATACACTCCCATGATTTGCACTTCTTTTATTTCTCGAACGCTATGGATATTGAGTTATCAAAAACTGCATTATACCTGAAAAAATACACCTTACAATAGATTTTTGTTCGAGTCGATAGCTTGACAATATGACGGGCGGTCAAAATCGGCTGACGTTTCATTAAATTTACCCCTATTTTGTTACACTTATAATTTCACTTGAAAACCGATTAGAAAAAATGATTCCCGACAATCAATCTGAAATTTAGTCTAGTTCATGTTCTTCAAAGGGTGTATTTTTAGTGCGAATGCTGCATGACTGAGACGTGATTCAAGGCGCGTGGTCGTAAGTCAAGAAATTCGGAAAAATTAAAAATCGTAAGCGCTGAAATTGATTACCCATTGAAAATACACCATTTGGGGAACATGAACTAGACTAAATTTCTGATTGTCAGGCAGCATTTTTCCTAATTGGATTTTAGGGGAAATAATAATAATAATTAATAATAATAATAATAATAATAATAATAATAATAATAATAATAATAATTAATAATAATAATAATAATAATAATAATAATAATAATAATAATAATAATAATAATAATAATAATAATAATAATAATAATAATAATAATAATAATAATAATAATAATAATAATAATAATAATAATAATAATAATAATAATAATAATAATAATAATAATAATAATAATAATAATAATAATAATAATAATAATAATAATAATAATAATAATAATAATAATAATAATAATAATAATAATAATAATAATAATAATAATAATAATAATAATAATAATAATAATAATAATAATAATAATAATAATAATAATAATAATAATAATAATAATAATAATAATAATAATAATAATAATAATAATAATAATAATAATAATAATAATAATAATAATAATAATAATAATAATAATAATAATAATAATAATAATAATAATAATAATAATAATAATAATAATAATAATAATAATAATAATAATAATAATAATAATAATAATAATAATAATAATAATAATAATAATAATAATAATAATAATAATAATAATAATAATAATAATAATAATAATAATAATAATAATAATAATAATAATAATAATAATAATAATAATAATAATAATAATAATAATAATAATAATAATAATAATAATAATAATAATAATAATAATAATAATAATAATAATAATAATAATAATAATAATAATAATAATAATAATAATAATAATAATAATAATAATAATAATAATAATAATAATAATAATAATAATAATAATAATAATAATAATAATAATAATAATAATAATAATAATAATAATAATAATAATAATAATAATAATAATAATAATAATAATAATAATAATAATAATAATAATAATAATAATAATAATAATAATAATAATAATAATAATAATAATAATAATAATAATAATAATAATAATAATAATAATAATAATAATAATAATAATAATAATAATAATAATAATAATAATAATAATAATAATAATAATAATAATAATAATAATAATAATAATAATAATAATAATAATAATAATAATAATAATAATAATAATAATAATAATAATAATAATAATAATAATAATAATAATAATAATAATAATAATAATAATAATAATAATAATAATAATAATAATAATAATAATAATAATAATAATAATAATAATAATAATAATAATAATAATAATAATAATAATAATAATAATAATAATAATAATAATAATAATAATAATAATAATAATAATAATAATAATAATAATAATAATAATAATAATAATAATAATAATAATAATAATAATAATAATAATAATAATAATAATAATAATAATAATAATAATAATAATAATAATAATAATAATAATAATAATAATAATAATAATAATAATAATAATAATAATAATAATAATAATAATAATAATAATAATAATAATAATAATAATAATAATAATAATAATAATAATAATAATAATAATAATAATAATAATAATAATAATAATAATAATAATAATAATAATAATAATAATAATAATAATAATAATAATAATAATAATAATAATAATAATAATAATAATAATAATAATAATAATAATAATAATAATAATAATAATAATAATAATAATAATAATAATAATAATAATAATAATAATAATAATAATAATAATAATAATAATAATAATAATAATAATTAATAATAATAATAATAATAATAATAATAATAATAATAATAATAATAATAATAATAATAATAATAATAATAATAATAATAATAATAATAATAATAATAATAATAATAATAATAATAATAATAATAATAATAATAATAATAATAATAATAATAATAATAATAATAATAATAATAATAATAATAATAATAATAATAATAATAATAATAATAATAATAATAATAATAATAATAATAATAATAATAATAATAATAATAATAATAATAATAATAATAATAATAATAATAATAATAATAATAATAATAATAATAATAATAATAATAATAATAATAATAATAATAATAATAATAATAATAATAATAATAATAATAATAATAATAATAATAATAATAATAATAATAATAATAATAATAATAATAATAATAATAATAATAATAATAATAATAATAATAATAATAATAATAATAATAATAATAATAATAATAATAATAATAATAATAATAATAATAATAATAATAATAATAATAATAATAATAATAATAATAATAATAATAATAATAATAATAATAATAATAATAATAATAATAATAATAATAATAATAATAATAATAATAATAATAATAATAATAATAATAATAATAATAATAATAATAATAATAATAATAATAATAATAATAATAATAATAATAATAATAATAATAATAATAATAATAATAATAATAATAATAATAATAATAATAATAATAATAATAATAATAATAATAATAATAATAATAATAATAATAATAATAATAATAATAATAATAATAATAATAATAATAATAATAATAATAATAATAATAATAATAATAATAATAATAATAATAATAATAATAATAATAATAATAATAATAATAATAATAATAATAATAATAATAATAATAATAATAATAATAATAATAATAATAATAATAATAATAATAATAATAATAATAATAATAATAATAATAATAATAATAATAATAATAATAATAATAATAATAATAATAATAATAATAATAATAATAATAATAATAATAATAATAATAATAATAATAATAATAATAATAATAATAATAATAATAATAATAATAATAATAATAATAATAATAATAATAATAATAATAATAATAATAATAATAATAATAATAATAATAATAATAATAATAATAATAATAATAATAATAATAATATTAATAATAATAATAATAATAATACTCTCCCTAATTCACCCCCTTACGAGTGAATTTCATCAAACATCAGTCGATTTTGAGCGCTCACCAGTCCCTTAATTTTCAAGCTATCGACTCGATCAAAAAACTAATTAATTAATTTTAATATAACCATCCGTTCGGCCCATAGCGCTCTCGTAATGAAAGCAGTGCAAAACAAGAGACATGATCTTCAACGACAAAACATGCCTCTCTTCATGACCCTCTAAAAGATAAACTATAAATACTACTAAGGTAGTATTATCGCGAAAATTTTTGTTACAAATATTCTCTAGAGAAAGACCGGATATTTAAAAAAAAATACAAGCTATAGTTTATTTGAAAATACATGATATAACACAGTTTTTATGGCAAAGATTTATATACAGGATTGTTCAAAGCAAAAAAGTAAATATTGATACCTTCTTATCTGAATTTTCACTAGATTTTATTGTGACCATCTCGAAAAACCTCGAATACAATACATCATAAAGTATAAATAAGCAAACTCTAAGGGATTAACCAAGTGACGGGGAACACGAAATTACTTTAATATAAAAAATAGTAAACTGTCAATATTAAGTAACCCCATTTATTTTTATAAAAATAGTATATTAGATATTAGATTAGGACATTTTCTTAAAATTTAATAATTAATATGCTCATAAAAAAATCTTCGCAAAAAAATATTTTCTCATAAAACACTCATATTTCCTTTTATATAAATTTGTTTGTTTTCATTTCGGGTGCTAGCGTCATATAAACTTATTATAATTAATATAAATATAGAGTTACATATCCAAATAAATAATTCGTTTTCTCCTGATAAGGAGCCATCATCATCGGTTTCCTCACCTCCCACAGAAATAATAATTGGTTCTATTGTTTCCTTTATTAACATATCAAGTTTTGCCAATTGTCCGATTAAATTTTTGATATGGAGTCACATAATAGTTGACGAACATCTTGA